CCATTACATATATTTTTCCTTCTAAATTTCTCATATATTTAGTACTATCACTAATCATTGCACCACTGTCCCTACATGTGAGGAAGAAGAGTGAATGGTTTCTTCTAATGTCCTTCTAATGTCCTAGTTAAGTTTCCAAGCCTTGTGTGTCAAGGCTTGGAAACTTAACTACAACATAACCATAAAACAACTACTGTATTCTAACTTATAGTTTACATCAAGAACCAAGTTCTGTACTTAGTGAAACGTATGGAAGCCTGCCAAATCAACACAAGCAAGATCTACTGTTCCTACATCAGTGATTCTCAACCAAGGTGCCCTGGTGTGCTGTGAGATTCTTTTAAAAATGCCACTGGATGACACACAATGAGTGCCCATACATGCGCTCCGGGATGGGGGAGTGCGTTTTAATTAGACAGCTCCCAGACGGCTGCTCTAATTAAAATGCTGCAGCATCACACATATTCGGCGTCCCACATTTCAAAATGGCCTGCTTTAACTAAAGCTCGTTTAACAAGTTTTAGTTAAAGTGCTCCCACTGCCATTTTGAAATGCAGTCCACTGAATACATATGACATTGCAGGAGGCTGGAGCATTCTAATTAGAACATATTAGAGCACATGTATAGGCAGCCAATATTATCACTGTTAGGTGTGCAAACATCTATACAGGATTCAGAAGATAAAGCCAGAGATTTTAAATAGCACTCTATAGTATCAAAAAAACATACTGTCCTGTTGTGGTCTGAGTAATTTGCAACAGAATAATTGCTCTATTATTTTTTCTAGTTAAAAAAAAAAAAAAAAAAAAAAACAAGTGAAAGCTAAGAGCTCACATTTTCTGAAGACTGCCTGGAGTGTAAAGAGGTTGAGAACCTCTGAGCTAAACCAACCCACATAAGTGCCTATCCAACCTTTCCTTGAAAGATGTCAATGAAAGAGATCCTACAACTTTCCTAGTCATCTAGTTCTACTGTCCTACTGCTCTTGCAATCAGAAAGTGTCTCTAAATCTACTTTCCTTGAGTTTATGCCCCTCACAAAACATTACACCCTCTATGGCAAGGAAGAACAGTTTCTCCATAATCCTTATGGCAGTCTTTCAAGTATTTAAAAATTGTTATCATGGCCTTCCCTTAGCCCCTTTCTCAAGTAAAGACTTGAAAGGTATCTATCTGGAATGGTTTAAGAATAATTAATCCCCATTTTTGCAGGAGGATTTATTTAGATGACCCTTGAGGTTTGCTTCAACACAATACTACAAAGCTATGACTGAATCTCCCTGAAGGTTTAGAATCATTAAAACATTGGCAACAGCACCTCTTTCAAGAAACAAACAAAAAAAATAACTGACCATAAGCACAAATGCAAATTGTAAAAGACAGACAGGTAGGCAACGAAGACAATTTAAGGAAACCCCTCAGAAAGTTCTGAGGTTTTTGTTGTTAAGTTTCAAAGTGCCATTTTTAGGAAGAAAAGTATTTCAAAATAAAGCACAGACAAGAAAATATAATGCATCTTAGAAGTTGAATAAAATGTACATACTTATATGAGATCATGATTAGCTTTTTAAGAATTATTTGCTTTCTAACTGTTACTTCGAAAGTGGTTAATACTCACCAAGAGTTTTTTTATTGGTTAATTTGCTGCTTGATTTCTTAAGAGATTCAGTATTCAATGGAGAATTAGGCAACAGGGAGCAACTAATGATAAAAAAACCAACAAAACTATGTTAAGCACTATTTTCATAAAAGATAATATGCTTTATCTCTTATTGGATTCATATGCCACCTTTTCCTTTCCTATGTGCAGCTTTGAGGGATACACAGTTGACTAGTCTACCCCATTATATAAGTAGTTGCAAATGACCAGATAGTACAAACAACCTGGTTTGGGACTAGGACTTCCAAATTCTTCTCCTATTTGGTATTCATTCATTTTGAATACTGACTTAAGAGTCTCTGAGTATGTGTAAGAAACCCTAACTCCACTGAAGACATAAGAAGACATTTATTTCCATAGAGCCTGGTTTTCACCAACTGCGTGAAACAAAAGCATTCAAGTGACAGACAAATAAGCAGTTTAATAAAATGTGAGCATAAAACGTTATCCATCTAATAATGTGGTTGATTCTGTATTTCAGGTTTAGAATAAAATTAATAACTGAGAAAAAACAAACATTTGTTTGTTGGGGTTGTTTGTTAGGGCTGTGGTCATTTGCCCCGAGTATTCTCTCCTGTCCATGGCAGGGGGTCAGACTTGATGATCTGCTCAGGTCCCTTCCGACCCTACCAACTATGAAACTATGAAACTAACTATGAAATAACTCGGTACCTGGCAATGACTAAAAGACGCTTCTCCTTTCCATATGAGAGAAATTCATTCTTCTGAGCTCTCATCAAAGCAGTGGGGCTAATCTCCAGCAAAGCAATCACGCTTTCAAACATTGAAGAAAGCAAGCATAAAACCTGAAGTGACAGGATGAGAAAGTAATATTCCCCTCACTTCAAAATTAAGTTGTACCTAGGTTTGGCAGAATTTGAGACAGATAGATAGATAGATAGATAGATAGATAGTCCTCCTCCCTCCCCCCCCCAGCAGAATTCAATTTTTATATATATAATTTTAACAGCAAAAATCAATTTTTATTTTTAAGCATTCATTCACAGTTTTATCTATGTTTATTGATTTAGACTTTTCAGGGTTACACGCCCAGGTCCAGGGCAGCTCCCCTGCCCTGATCATGCTGCCTCTCCCCATGTTTCTAGAGCTCCTACCCAGCCCGGTTCCTGCGTACTTGAGCCAGAGTGTGTGGGGGTGCCCCCAGGGCCCAGTTGCTTTCCCTGTGCTGCCTGGAGGGGCAGAAGGCCATGGCCATCAAGGAGCCAGGCCGCCCCTCCACTGATGCTCACCACACAGGGCTTGCCCCCTAGGAGGCCACAGGGAGCTGCTTCCCGCCCCTGTGGTGGGGAGCCATTGCCTCTCCCTTTGTTCCCACAGCTCCTGCCTAGCCCAGCCCCTGCATGACTGGAGCAGGAGCCAAACTTCTGGTGAGCCCTGATGATGCACGGGCTGGCCCATGCTCGCTCGGAGCTGGATGACTGCTCCCCAGCTGGGACCTGGGAAAAGCAAGCAGCCAGTGCACCGGATTCCAGACTGTCAACAGCCCTGCCCCTCCAACCCTCACTCCCAACAGCCCTATCGGCACGGCCCCCAGCTCCTGCAGCAGCTGCCAAACCCACTACCAAAGGAGAAGTGCATGAGCGGTGCAGCAGGAGCCCCCTACCCAGCCTGCAGCAGCTGTGCTCTGTGTGTGTGTGTGTGTGTGTGTGTGTGTGCACCCCCAACTCCAGATTTCCTTACCCCATCCCAGATTTCTTTTTATGTTCCCTTTCTATTAATTTTGATGATTACCGACAGACTGACAGGTGAATCGAAGTTCATTGATAAAGATTGAAACTTGCGAAGCCTAGCTATAACAACAAATAAACATCAACGATCCAAAGCGATAGGCCATTCAATGTCATTTATGAAAATGACTGAAAAGCAGTAACTAATTCTGTCTGGGTGGATCTAAATCTGCAAAACATTAAGCACTACTAAAGTGAGTATATAGCCTCCTAGGCATACAATTATGCACTCTCAGGACCTTCCTTAACAGGCTTACATAGTCATGTGTAGACGAAATGAGGGGCATGTGTGCACAATACTTTAAAGTGGGCTAAGTGCTTTTGCACCACTTTAATGGTGTCAGTGTTTGCACGCCTTGGTGATATATTGTGCATTAACTACAGCCGCTGTAGCAAATTAGGCAGAATGCACCCTTAAATGACTTGGGGTGCTGTCTTACGAGCTGCGGAGCAAAGCACCAGGCTCCATGCAGCTCGGGGGCTCTGCAGGAAGCCCTGCAGGCAGCCTGGCAGCAGCCTGGAAAAGCAGGCTCTGCCCAAGGCAGAAAAAAAAAAGCAGCGAGCCTGATCTTTTGTTTTTCCCCCCAGAGCCTGCCTGCCTGTCTGAGCTGCGCAGGAGCTCAGTGCTTCCCTCTGCAGCCATGGTGCCCCCCCAGGACTGCCCGAGCCAGATGCCTGCGGATGAGTGCTGCCTGGGGGGTGGCCACCGCTGCCGTGGAGGGAAGCACGAGCCTCCCCCTCAATCCAGGAACCGCTCCACCTGCTGGCAGCTCACCTTTACAGCATGCTGTTGCCAATGAGAATGACATGAAAAGGGTCCTACATGCAATGAGCGAGTAAGTGAGTGTATGTAAGCTAGGAGCAGCCACCATTTAAATAAAACATACTGCTGATCTTAAAATTGGAATAAAGGCCTGGGTTCCACTCACAGTTCTGGGCAAAATGAACAAAACAGCAAAGACTAAAGCATAAAAGTGGGCAAACACCTGTATGCCATAAACTGACACCCTAGTCAAATATATTTCACTATTTTTCTCAGAAGAACTGGAAAGGATAATGTCCTGATGCTTGTTTGAGGAATGGGCAGGAAGGTTTTTAACTATTCCACACCAGAACACCTGCACTTCCTTAATTTCTTGTACTGGACATAACTATCCAAGTTTCATACCAAAAGCTAGATAAAGGATATTTAAAATGGCTTGTACAATATATTTATGAGAGGGATTTTTAACTTGTATACAGTAGAATCAGTTATGTTCAGTGAAAGTACTATGCAATTCATATCAAATAAAGCAAATTCTGCTTCTAACTTTTTGATAACAAGACATCCAGAACATTAAAAACTGGAGTTTTAAAAAAAGGTGTACTTGCACTCCATCCCTGACAATCATCTGCTTACTGAAAGTTACTACATATTTAAACATGTGTTTAACAAATATGTCAATAGCGTACTCACCTTGCCATCAACAGCCTTCCTCGTTAGTGCACATGATCCAGCAAACTGAATGCTGAGGTCGCTATAATCTTTACCCAAAAAAGACAACGTTGTGAAATTGTATTTTATTTTTCTAATGAAAAATGCTAGTTAAAATCAGAGAAAATATGGGGCCTAAATGTTTTTTCACTCCAACTTTAACCAGCAGAACTCCATTATCTTCAATGAAGATGCTCCCAGATTACACCAGAGTTACTGGGACTACAATCTCACCATTAAATCTATTAATAATGAATTCCCAAATAAAATGTAAATTAATTAATAGCTATTAAACAATACTGTATGCTAATTCAACTTCCTTAACAATTCAAGACTACCATGAAAAGGAGTGGTACATGATTTAAAATATTTAAAACAGAACTACAGATTTTTCCATCTTACTCTACTAGTTAACATACCAATTCTTCTCATACTATTTAGAACAGATCAAAATCAGATCAGGTGAAGAGGAAAACAAATACTTAAATCTTATCAAACTAGTCAAATTCAATGGGATCATACCTTTATAATGTAAAGCAGCTTCTATTTCAAAGTTTGCCAAGTTAATTATGAACAAACCAGTAGAGCTTCCTATCCATAAATATCTGGCATTCACAGCAGGAAAACTAATTTAATAAAAAAGAAAGAGTATCTTTTTAACTCAAGAGACAGAGTAAGTATTCTCTTTCCCATCTCACTACCACCACATCAATTTTCATCACAAAGAGATGGAAATGGATACTTGAATTTTAATTAAAATATATTTTAAAAATTAAAACTTTCAGCAGATAATTAGACAAGATTTACAACTTTAAAAAAGAGCTACAACCTTAATTTTTTTGTAATTGTTAAAATCTTTAGGTTTTAAAAGAAACAGTACAATTTAATCAAAGAACCAAGGAAGATTCATGGGATAGAGCAGATGGTAATTCTAATCTACTTCACTGTTGTATATTTTCTTCCTTTGTACTACCAAATTGTTTTCCATAATTCCAAAAATAATTTCTTATAATTACCAAAATATAGCAGTTATAATATGATTTTTTAAAATTTTTTTAATTTTCATCAATATATTTCCATTTTAAATAGGGATGTACTGATAGAGATTTTTGGGGCCAATACCAATAGCCGATATTTAAGGAGGCATATCAGCTGATACCACTCCAATTTCCGATACAGCTGCCTCCAGCTGATACGTCAGGCATGGTGGAAGGGGAGCGGGGAGGGAAGATAAAACACCCCCCCATGGTGAGGGAGGGGGCAGGCGCAGTAGCAGGCGCCAGGTGGAGTGAGGGGGCAGAGCCATGGCTCATGGGGGGGAGGCCGCTGCTTGCACCCCGGGGGGGGGCATGTGCCCCCCAGATCTGTGCAGGGCAGGGTGGGCTGCAGCCGGGGCTGCGCAGGGCTCTTCTCGGCGGGGGCTGGGCTCGAAGCAGGCACCAGCAATGCTGGGAGGATGCTGCATCCACCCCAAATTTCGCTGCCACTCTGCTCCCAGCACTGCCACCACTGAGCACCTGACATTGCCCCAGCTCATTGCCTCACCTCCACTCACACACCGGGATGAGCCGGGCCTGCACCAGGTGCTGCTGGCACTCACTCTGAGCCCAGCCCTCACTGAGAAGAGCTCCGCGCAGTGCCAGCTGCAGCCCACCCCACCCTATGCAGATCTAGGGGGCATATGCCCCCCTCCATTCCCTCCTGGGGTGGAAGCAGAGGCAGGAGCCACTTCTCCCCACCACAAGCTGTAGCTCCACCCCTCCACCCTGCCTGGGCAGCACCTGCCCCTACCCCCCCCCCCACCATGGGTGGTGTTGATCTGTCCCCCACACGCCCCTTTCCTCTCATCCCCTTCCACCACACTAGACTTAGCAGCTGGAGGCAGCTCTCCACACTGCTGGCAGCTCTCCACACTGTCTGAGTGATGCTGCACGCAGCACAGGTATTTATCGGCCAAATTATTGGCCCCATTGGGCCGATATCCAGTACAGTCAGTTTTCTTTATATCAGTACCGATCCGATATCAGACTGATGTATTGGTGAACCTCTAATTTCAAAACTTTTTCTTAACACAATAATTATGATTGCATTATTGTCATCCAGTGGAATGACTTCCTAGGGATGGAGCTGTCAAAAAAATATTCCAGCTGAACAATCTTCCACTGGAAAATGCTGATTTGACAGAATCTGAATGCTCCATTGGAATTTGTCAATTCTGCCAAAACCTTGAAAAGAAACCTCCAGTATTTCCTAGCATCTTACCCACCTACTCAGGCCCTGAGACTTCCTAGCTGATAGATGGGCTGCTATCAGGCGCTCTTTCTAGGACAAGCCTGAGAACATGACCACAGTACCCATTCAGATCAGCTCCGAGCCACAGACACTACCGTATACACTACCTTACTGCCAGGCTTGGGTGTGCCTGTAATAGAACCAAGTGAGCAAGGCTTATTTCCTAGGCTGCAATCCCAGGTCCCAAAGGGAGGTGGCAGAGGCTATGGACAGGTGTTATATTTATGCCGGGCGACAAGCCTTTCTACCAAAAAAAATAAATAAATTAAAAAATGGAGCCTATAGCTGTTAAAGGGAATTTTCCCAGGAGAGAACTAGCTCTTTCATGAAAAAATGACAGCACATCCACTTCCACTTCTCCCACAGCAGCTTGAACACCAGTATACTTCTCCCAGAAATGGGATACTTCCCAGTATCCCATAGTACTTTGCTCTCCATCCCTCCCTCCAAGGGAGAGATTGCTGGCTCCCTGGTAACCTACCCAGTGCAAGCTGTCAGAGAGCCACATGGGGACCCTGCTGCCACTGAACAAACCCAGATCACCCCCAGTCTGTGCAACAAATGGAGAAGCATTCCTCTTCCAGATGCAGGGTCATCTGCCTCCCATCTCATACACAGCTCTGGGACACCCTAGAGCTGTGCACAAGGCGAGAGGGATTCTCCCACAGCTGGATCCATCCCTGACTACACTGGTACAGCTTTGCTGCCTCTCACTCCATGCGCAGCTCTAGGATGACCTGGAGTTGTGCACAGTGCAGGAGCATTCTCCTACAGTTGGGTCCTAGTCCAGGCAAGATCCAGCTGTACTGCATCTGCCTCCCGCCCCTTGCACAGACAGGGGTGGCTCAGGCCTGTGCAGGGGGGGCAAGAGACAGAGGCAGATGCCAACAAAGCATCAGCTAGAGAAAGCCTGCCTACCATGGGGGCTGGAAGGAAGCAAAGGAGCAGCCAGGGGCTGGAACATTTGTATGCTCCCCTTCTCACCATATTTTCCAGTGCTGCAAATTTCAGAGATTAAATGCCTGTTCATACCCATAGATAAGGCTTAAACATTGACAGAAAAACTTTATTATTCACCTACAACCAGAATTACATGGGAAGAAAGGTTAAGTTAAAAATTTTAAAGAGTCAATGACATTTTAAGTATGCAGTAAGCAAAAGGACTTTAAAATTTCTAACATGTAAGGTAACCAGTCATTGAAACCCCTTGTTTAGTAAAACACTATCTGACTAAGGGAATGATTGTGTCTGGCCCACTGCTATCAATCAGAATTTGTGCTTACTTTTTATTCCCTTCCTTGACCTACTGCAACATTTTTAATCAGCTGGTATAGTTTGTTTTTTTTTAATTAACCCAAATGGATTTTAAAATATCATTGTTTGACTGTGCCAAACTAAAATAAGAGTAATATTTTTCCTCATAAAAATTATTTTGCAATAGCCAAGGGAAGTGCACTGTAAAACCTATGCGTGCAAAACATATATGCAAAACAATACGTACATTCACATATAATCTTTAACATTAAGAGTGTGTTATATGAACCCATCCACGGCAACTGAAATATAGATATCTTTGGACACAGTAAGTATATGAGAAGAACTGGCACAACTGAGGGAAAAAGTCATGGTAGCAAAGCCAGAACAAATCTGGAAATATCCAAATGAGTCTGTGTGTGAAGGAAATAATAATGTAGTTATATAATGAAATCCAGCACTCAAAAACAGAAGGGAATCCAGCAATCAAAAACAGAAGGGAACAGACTGATCTGTTACAATTTCAGTCACCATTTTGGTGGAAAGAATTATAAATTGGGCAATGGGCTTATTACAACATAAATACATGTTTTTACAAATACTGACAAAGTTTTGTTGTTACCTGGACTGATGTTTTAAAAGTTCCCCTCCACACAAGCAGGTAAAGGTGAAATGGGATCTAATCTGCAGGAAGTGCAATTGTGGAATTGTGCATTAGATGCTATTGTGCCTTATTGCTGGTGTAGGGGGAGCCTACTTGCTTAGCAAAGAAGCAAGTACCACAGATGAGAGCCCCCTCAACTGAGATAGCTCCCAGTGGCAGGGGTGTCCCTCACACCTCAAAGGCTGAGGGTTCACAGCAGCCATGATCTCCCAGGCTATGGGGTGTGTGAAACTCCAGGGCCCTGGGGATTGCAGGCACGCTGATTCCTAGGACTGAAGGGTTTTATGCACCTCCAAGCCCTATAGATTACAGCTGCCTCAATTCCCAGAGCCCAGAGGCTTCGTTGTGGGCATGGTGCGCTCCTGAAGCTGGGAGCCTGTCAGCTCCTAGACGCAGAGGAGTCCCTGCTATGCATGCAAACTAAGGGCTCGATAGCAACCAGCTAAAGTTAGTACACATTTCTGAGGTCTAACTTTATAGTTGGTTGGAACTTTTTATCATGTGATAAGTACTTTGCACGTGTAGCTGCTCTTAAGGTAATTACACAATTAACCAGTTAACTGTGCAATACCTGTAACGCATAGAGGAATCAAAGATTTATATTCCAAATATAACCTGTAGATCTATGGGTTCAGCTTGTAAAATAAGGTCATAGGAGTTGAAGTGAGGATATGGAAAAGTACAAAGCTAAAAAGTTTAGTATGCACATTTTCACCACAGATATACAATACTCCTTTTCTAAAAAGCAGGAAAATAGTCAAACCTCTTTAAAGTAACAGAGTAGGAAAATTGTTTAATTGCGGTTTGTAACACTTTAATGCTTCTGCTACTTAGACTTTACTTTGTGATGGACTTCTACTTAAAATTGTTTTTAAAATACCAACTAAGTTACAAGTATAGATCATATTAAAGCAAGAAAGGGTTACATACAGAATCCAGAAAGTAACTGTAAACATGGAGTCGCCCACCGTTGAGTAGTACCACTTGAATCTATTCTTACTCTAAGGCTCTTTATCATTTTTATCAATGATCCAAAAGAAAATACAAAATTACCCTCAGTGAAGTGTGTAGATGCCACAAAGAGTGGAGAAATGGCAAATAATAAAGGGGATGGGTCATTTATGCAGACCAATTTTGATTGTTTGGTAAAATGGACATGCATTCCAAATATGTCAGGTCATGCATATAGAAACAAAAATGATTTATGCCATAAAACGGATGATTAAATTCTAAAATACTAGATGAATAATGGATAAGTAATAAGGATTTAGGATGTTAGGGTCAATAACCAATTGCACTTGAGCTCTCACTGTGATACAGTAGCTAAGATGACAAATACAATCATAAGAACGTAGGACTAGAAGTGACTTCTTAGGAGCCCGAGTTCATTCTTCTAATCTGAAAGGCATCACCTTA